CCATTTGGCGCTGCTGGCAGCTCTCGGCAAGCGGCGGCCGCGGTGCCATCTTCTACCTTGCAGAGAAAGCCTAGGAGACGCTAAAGAAGGTTACAGCTTTTGCTTTAATGGCTGGGGCTTGGTTTGACTGCTCCTCGCACTGAGCAGAAGACCCCTTAAGAGCAAAAAAAAAAAAAAAAAATATTAAAAATTAAGAATAAATCAGTGTTTCCCCATATCGTTTAGCTGAGGATCGTTTAACGCAGGAGCTGGAGGAGTCCGGTGCTGTGCACTGCTCGCCTCTTCGGAGAGGATCCGACCAGCAGCACGTCCCTGGGGCGGGGGGTCCTTGCAGCACCGACACCAGCACAGCCCAGACAGGCCACCGGTGCTTGCAAGGATTCACGGGCAGCCAGCCCCGGAGCTCACGGGACACGACCTAGCCCAGTGGCCACTTCAGTACATGGCCTCGTTGTCTCCCACCGCAGTGAAGGGGACACCGTAGGTGCTCTTCTTGCTCCGCTTGCTCTTCTTGCTCCAGACCAGCAGCGTGCTGGCACTCTTGCTGTTCATCAGGCTCTTTCGGCTGTTCTCCTTGTTGCTCTTCAACATCCCGCTGCCTGAGGACATTGCTGCTGCTTTCTTGTCTGCCTGTTTGGGAAGGGGAATGGAGAGGGGCGTGAAGCCAGGGCAGCACCTGGGCTGCAAATGTGGTGCCTGGCTTCAGCCCTGCACCTCCACCCCGGGAGCAGGACACAGGGGAACCTCTGCTCCCCGTGGAGTCACCTGCTTCGGTGCCTGGCTTGAGGCTAATAGCAAAAAAGCAAAGCTTTCCATCCCTGGAAATCCTGCTTCACATTTGCTAAGCCAGCTGCAAACAAACCTGCCACGCCAGAGACAGCGCAGAGCTTCGTTTAAGCAGACCACAGCCTGTCTCTCCCCCTGCAAGACCTGCAGTTTCCCACCTAAGGCTTGGGACATGACTTACGGCTTTTGGTGCCTCTGAGCCCTGCAGGGTTATCACACTGATCTCCACTCCCTCCTCCCCAGTGCTCTTCAGCAGCTGCACCACCTCAGCGTGCTTGGACCACTTGCAGTCCTTGCCGTTCACTGAGATGATGTAGTCTCCCTCCTTCAGCCCAGCTTCCTGCGGGGGAAGAAAGAAGATGCACATGTTTGAGCTCATGAATGCTGCTGCACAAAATCTGCTTGGTTTCCACCCCACAGGTCCCAATCCTGCGGAGACATGGGCCACAGGGAGGGTTGAGGTCCAGCCTCCACCTACAGCATAAGGCAGCCGATGCCTTCATCATCTAAAGATTTTACATCTGCTTTGCAGCATGCACACAAAAGTGGAATGCTCTACAGACTAAGGACCTCTTTTGCAGCTGCCGGCGATGGCCACGCTTGACATCCAGCGTGCTATAAACTCCCAGCCCCGTGACTTTTTGCAGCCTTGCAAAAAGTGCATCCAGCTCTGACTCTTCGATAAAGGTTAAATGCTGCAGGTCTCCAGAAAAAAAAAAAAATATAAAAACTATTGCCTGCAAGCCTTGATCCCTGAGAAAACAGAGCAGGCTCAGCAAGGTTCTTTGCACACCCTTCATCCATTAAGGCATCAACAAGGCTCTTGACATGCTTGAAGAAAAACACGTGCCAGCTCGGGGCCGTGGGGACAGCATCAGAGCTAGCAGCAACCCAGCCAGGACACGCCAGACCAGCTGCAATGGAAGTTTAGAAACTTGTCCACACAGGGACACCCACATTTCGGTGTCTATCTGGAGACCAATCCCACCCCAGATGAGTGCAATGAATCTTAGTAGCCCTCGGGATGCAACTGTGGTCCAGATATGGACAATATATGGTCTTTAAGAAGATTTTAGTCTCCCAAAAAGGGATGCGATCCTGCTGCTAAGGACCGTGTTGTTACAGAGATGATGGATGCTGGATGGCAGGGTTGATGCTGAACAGTGCTGAGGGAGGGGGGAGACCTTTCGGGCATCCCACCAGGATGCTCCAGAAAGCTTCTGCTGGAAAACAAAGTTGCCCTTGATACATCAGAAAGCCCATATAGTAAGTTTTCACTGAGATAACTCGCGTTTCAGACTTGCCATCTTGTTCCATCCACTGTTATGTCCCAAAATGGGGGAGAAGGGAGCTGGGTGCTTGCCAAAGAGAGACTGCCAGCAATTAAAAACTGAGCTAACCTCTGTATTTTTTCCTTAGCTGTCTCCTGAAAAAAACCAAAAACCTCAATTCTTTCGTGACACCTGTCTGCAAGCCCCGGGCAGGGATGAGTCTCCACCTGAGCACACCAATGCAGTTACTAACGGAGTGTTAAGACCTAAAACCAGCTGGTACCCCTCGAGCCAACCCCCGACAAGTCACTTCCAGCATCCCCACAGGGACAGCAAGAACCTGGGGTACTCACGGCAGCGCAGCCCCCTGGGATGACACCAGCAATGAGGACGGGGGAGTCTCCTCGCAGTGTGAACCCAAAACCGTTCTCTCCCCTCATCAGGTGGACTCTCCGTGCTGGGTACCACTTGTTTTTGGCCGAGAAAACCGAAAGGGGTCCCTAGGGTAAGGTAGAAACATGGAAAGCACCTTTCGGTGCAAGAACAACTCCCTGGGGATGAGCAACCTTGCAAAACACCCACTGATGGGGAGGAGGCAGAGCAAGAAAGCCTGTCTTATTTCTTTAAGGATGTGATTTTGAGCCTGCCCGGTGTTTTACCCTGCCTGCACGCCCAAAAATGCAGATTTATGTACTATAAGGCTAGAGGTGCTTAAAAGCCCATGTCAGACGTTGGCTTTATGAGCAGCAGCGGTCTCGTGTGGGTTGGGAAGGACCTCAGGAGGTCTCTGGTCCAACCCTCCGCGCAGAGCTTAGGTCTGGACATCCTCCTGGCACTGCCCTGCTCCTGCAAGGCAGGAGGAGGAGGTCTCGGCACAGTCAGCAAGCTGGCACCAGTTTAGAAACTATAATCCTGGAGCAAATGAAACAGAAAGCTCCAGTGGGCAGAGCTGGCTCCTTAATTCCCCACTTTAGGAAAAAAAACCCATCACCCAAGGAGGAACGATGGGGGTTGAGGTTTTTTATCGCTGCCTGGCTCTGGGGGATGCAGCCTGGCTGGGGTGGTCCAGCAGCAGGGTGTGAGGCAGTGCGACAGGTCACCTCTTCAGGGTCAGATCTCCCCCAAATCTTTCCTATTTTCCTGCCTTTTTCCTACTTTTCTATTCCCACAGGAGGAGGATATACCTGCCTGCCCTGGGGCTGTTCAAAAGCAGAGATGATGCCCAACCTTTCCCTGGGGTGCCTGGGGGATGGTGACAGCACAGTCAGGTCCCACAGCAGCCCCAAAGCTCAGCTCTACTCCCCAGGACCCTGTAAGCCTAAAGAGGATAGGGATAAATGTCCGGTAGGATTTTCCAGGTGCCTCCCAGCTGGCACCATCCTGCTCTGCTCCCCCAGAAAGCTTCCTCTAAAGGGTCCCTTCAGTCCTTCTCGGATAAAGCCCACACGAAATGCCTGTGCCCGTCCCCCCATGCACCAGAGGAGCTTTGTGACCCATTTAGGTCTTGCAGAGACAGATCTATGCCCTCCCACCCCTCCTTCTGCACAGGTCCCTGCTTGTGAGGAGGCAGCTCGTCCTCCTTGGAAAGCAGCCCGTGAGTGCAATGGCTGCACCAGGAGACAGAGAAGAGGCTGCGGGGAGGAAGGAAACCAGGCAAGCAGAGCATGCAGGGGAGGAGGAGGAGATGTCTGCTCCCACGGGGCAACCTCCATCCCGTAGCTGTACGTACCAGCCTGTGGAAGAGGTCGGTCACCTTCACCTGGGAGAAGTTGGGGGATTTTATCTCTGGTTTCTGGTGCGTTTTGGCTAGTGGTAGGGAGAGAAAAGCACATACGCTGGGCTCAGGTAGTTGCAGCAGCTGCTGCCTCTACCTTGTGCTCCCCAAGAAGGGATGGTGTGACCCATAAAAGCTGGGACCTCCTCAGGCAGCTGCCAGACACGCAGCCTGGAGCCCCCAATCCCACCCGTGATGCTCCACCGCCGTGCAGGGAGCTCTGGTCCACAGCGACATGCCACAAACTCACCGTGGAGTTTGCCCACCCCATGTAACCTGTTACAAATCCCCTCCCCAGCTGCACCCCCAAAAATCCACTTACGGTGAATGTCCGGGGCATCTCCGGTTTCAAAGAAGTCCTCCTCGTGGTCGATTTCCGAATATTTGCTCAGCGAGCGTTTGTGGGCGAAGGAGAGGACCTCCTGGAGGATATCCATCTTCCGCAGGATCTTGCACAAGCCGTGGATCCTCATAGCTTCCTCGTGCTTCATGATGGCTTTCTTCAGATGAGCTTTGCCTGCAAGGGAGCAGAGAGATCGCAGCCCGAGCGGAGCAGCCCTGCCGCCACCGCCGTTCCCTCTCCGCTCGCTCGGCTGCCCACGGATGACAGCAGCCTCCGCGGCTGTATCACCCGATGTGACTCAGGGACAGCCCAGTCACGTTCGCAGCCTGCCAGGCGTTCAACGTGCACTAAATGGAGTAGGTCCCAGCCGTCAGCTCGAGCCCCCGATGTAGGGCTGGGAAGGGACCTTGAAGGGTGACCTACTTCACTCCCCCGGCACCGGTGGCAGAGCTGGCAGATGTTCCCAAAAACTGCCGGCGAAGGAGCCGCCACCACGTTGCGACACCCCTGAAGTCCCTCCTAACGCTTAACCTCAATCTCCTCTGCAAATTAACTTCTCTCCATCGCCTTGCATCCCCTGGGGAGGGGACATGGAGGACAATCAAGCCCCGACAGCCTTTTAGCTTCGGGAAGATGCGACACATCATCCTCTTTTCCAGGCTAGGCAAAGCCTTCTCCCTGCCCTGCAGGTCCTGCTTTCCACCCGCTTCGGCATCTGCTCTTGCTTTGCTCCTCTCAACTTGCCTTCAATGTGTTTCCACCCTCGTGAAAACGGAGCGGCCGAAAAATGGCCAGAAGAGATGAAATCACGATGACCCATGGGTATGAATGCAAACATCTCCTTTGCAAGAGACTGCAACCAAGATACCCGTATCCAACGCTAAACTACCGAAAAAGCTATATATATATATGTACACACACGTATCATAGAAACACGTGTGCCTGTAGCATTTCCAGTTTTAGGACACACGGTGGCAACATAACCCAGGGAGATGGTTGGATTTTGCTTCAGACTTATGAGGAATGCAGCCAGTGGCCTGAAGACCTCTGCTTTTCCCCGCAGGAAGTCACAATCGAGGAAATATATTGAGGTTGGATGGAAACCACAGGGGAAGAGATTCTTCAAAATAATTTTATCAAATGCAATCAATCATACTTTATCAAAGCACCCACTGCCAGCCCCATCCATGGACAAGAAAGCAACTATGTTTTATTGAATGTCATCAACTCCTGCTATTTTCAAGAGATCACTGGGAATAGAGGTTGAGCATGGAAGTTGTGCAAGCTTTTGGCTCCACACTACTGAAGATGGTGGAATATACCATGTCTGATAAAACATAATGTTATAAAACTAGGAGACAAGGGAAGGGCGAAAAAAAAAAAATCCTTTCAGGGAGTTGGTTTTAATGCTGCAAGTTTCTTCCCTTCCTGTAAACCAAAACCAGAGCTGAGGCTGGCATCTGCACATTCATTTTTCACCAGCAGATGCTGAACGGAGCCCATTCCGCCCAAGAAGAGCAGGCAAAGCTGGAAGCTGGGTTGATGCAAATTGGGAAATCAAATGACAGCAGCTGAGGGTATCGGGGTGGTGTTACCATAATGCTCTGATTTTGGAGTTTATTTAAGGAGTCTCCTCATGCATGTCTTCCACCTCCCATGCCCAGCAGTGAAATCTGGCCGAGCAGCCGGGAGGACTTTGCTGGGGCCGGCAATGTGACAAACTCATTCCCAGTAGGATCTGCCTCCTTTCACATGTGTGCAATGAGGAGAAAGAGCACAAGGAGGCAGCTCATGGAGGAGGCAAACAGGAGACGACACCCCAAAATCAGGATGCTGAGCTTGCTCTTATTGCAGCGGGGCTGCAAAAACATGACTTCAGCCGAATAAGCAACGCTCTGTTTTTCCCCTGAAGCTGAAAATCCGCATGGGAGGAAGCTCTCATCTCCCAAGCATTTTGTTGCAGCTAAAAAAACCACCCCCTGGCATCTGCTGTGTCTTCTTGTCATCATGCCAAGTCAGCAGCAAGCCCAAGCCAAGAAGCTTCCAGGATCTCTGTGTTCCTACAGATTTCTCCATGCTGCATTGGGTGACGTTACCTGGCTCCGGTGTTCGAGGTTTTACTGTCAAACTCGGCTGGATAGGTTGGTGCAAGCACCGTGAGTCGGTCCTCAACACCCTAATAGGGAACTGTGACACTTTCCTGCCTTCCCAGGAGAGGCTCTTTTCAAACAAAGACAAAAATAAGGTGTCTTTGCATGGAAACATCCCCCAAACAGCTCATCACATTCCTTGTGGAGACCATGCCTACACGGGTAGGGTTACGATGGGGCTCACTGCCCGTGCATTGAGGTTTCATCACAAGAACCGGGGGCTTTGCCCCCATGGATGCGCTTACCTAGCTTCCTCCTCTCCTCGGGGTCCTGCAGCAGGACGTGGAGCGATGGTCCCTCTGGCATGGTGATGTGGAACTGGATAAAAGCCTTCTCGTGCTCCGGCAGTTCAGCGTCAGATGCCACTGTGTGAAAAAATCGGGTGGGGATGGGCTTAGAGAGAAGTCAGGGTGCTGCTTGGCCGCCTGGACCCCCAAGGTGGTGGGGAGAAGGGGACCAGGAAGCCACATCCATGCTCACGTGGTCCTGATAACTTCAGCAGCAACCACAACCCAACCACAGCCTGCAACAACCAGCAAGACATCACTGATGGGGAGAGGGATGAGTTATCACATTCAAGGCTTTGAAGCCAAATGCAGGATTTGTCCTGTGCACAGCACAAGTATCCGGCTGTTTTGCCTCCTTCCCTCCTTTGTTCCGGTCTGGAAGCAGGATTGGACATCAAGAGAGCTGAGTTTTCCCCACCTGGAGGTTAGTGACATCGATCTAAGCCAGACAACAACTAAAGCACAAGAGCTGGGCAGATTAAAGTGTAATTTGGGAGCTGTGCCTGGGACCCCTGCCTGGGCAGAGAGCTTGTAGTGCAACCAAGAGGGTCCTTCAATGGAGAAACTGAGATGAATAGAGCTTGCACGGCGCTCCAAGCACCACGCTGGGCTCTGTTGGCATGATATTTACACCTTTATTTCCAGCCAAAGCTGCTCCTCATCCCCTTGGCTTCCAGGGAGCTCAGGGTTGGATGGCAGCGTCCTTGCCTGGGCACAGGGGGCGATAGGAAGGAACCCAGAGGGCTCCAGGGAGCCTTGTAGACTTGCTGGTCTGAATGTTAGGAGATCTCAAAGCCTGGTGAGCACCACCAGCACAAGCATCCAGCAGGCTGGGAACTGGCAGTTCCAGGGCTGGCTCTCCCCATGCCAACCCTTTCCGTGCCAGCATCCCTTGGGGATTAAACCGCAGCATAAGGAGTTTATTGCTGGCTGGTTATGGGAGCAAAAGGTTTGTTATTCTGAACAAGGGGGTCAGGGAGAGGCAGCGAGCGGGCACGTGAGATCTCAAAGGCATGCTCTGGATGGAGCAAAAAAATCCCCAAACACCCAAATTAGGCATCTCCTGCAGATTTGCGTTTCCCTCAGCACCTAACGTTATTAGGCCAGGCAAACAGCCTCAAAATTTTAGGGGAAAGGTTTGCCCTGTCCCTTGTAACCCCATGCAAACCTGGCCCCATCGCCGTCCTCTGCCGTTTCTGTCTTTAAGCTGCTCCAGCCCCACGGCACCCCACCCTCTCCCGTCTCTGCCCCAGCAGCTCTCCTTGCTCAATCCTGCTTCTGCAACGCCCACGCGGCACAAGCCCGGCAGCAAGATTTTGGGCAGACTCTGGAGAGGGGGAGGATGCTGGGACAGTCTGGCAGCCATCGCCGTCACAGCACTGCT